CTAGATATTTTTGAAAAAAACAATTTTTTTAAATTATTTATGAAGAACATTATTTCACGACGTCAAACAATTTTTTATAGCAAGGCTTTCACTGAAATAATTAATTTTAACGAAACAAACAAAAATTGAACGTGCATTTCTTTCTCTTAATCTTTGTAATTTCTTCAAAAGCTTGTTACTGTTTACAACAAACTAAAATAACGTCGTACAATGCGTTTTGTTATAAAGGTAGTAATTATTTAGTATATGGTTTTAAACGAATATAAAGTCAAATATTCTTTTTTGTTTATTATTTAATATTATTGTTTATTAAATAAAACCAACATTCATTTTTCCTCTTAAAGCACAATCTTAAACAACGATTCGTTTCTTTACTGAAACGGTTCAGGGTGGCAGACACAGAAGTGGGGCGTAATGCTGCTCTTGCAAATCCGAGTGAAATCCAAGCCCTATTTCAAGAACTGGAGTCGCTGAGTTGCGAAGATGACTCCGGTCCAGAGCAAGACACCATGTCGATTTCTAGTACCCCGAAACCATCTTTGCGACCATTTTTTAGCAGCAGTCGAAGTTTGCTCGAAGGACCAACGAACATTTGTATGGAAATGGAAAAGGTGGAAGATAAGAATTACTCTGGCAGTGATGGAAATGCTGGAACTGATCAGGAAGTACACTCGGACCCCCAAACTGGCTCTCCGCCAAAGGACAAGACATGTCTCTTGCCTCAAAAGAGCGGAACTGACATCGACTCCACCGAAGTGACTGAGAAGAAAAGTAAATTATTTCGGTCCAGTAATATTGCGTCAAAGAAAAAAAGTTCATTGAGCATAGGAACAGAACCTGTCAGTTTGGAGACTGCAATGGTAACTAAAATAATTAAATACTGAACTATACTCATAAATTCTCAATTTCTTATTAAAAGAATTGAAAACATAAATTGTGTATTATAAATATTTATCTAAAAGTAATTAATTGAGATATGTATTTCTAAAAAACAAATTTTCAATAATATTCCTTTTAATAAATGTGCATATATTAAGTAGACCTTATAAAATTCCATCGTTAGGTTCGTAAATCGTTTCAAGATCAAGTTTTTCGTCAAATGTCCGTCGACGAGATAGTTCTTCCCGAATGCGTCGCTCTTGTGGTCGGTGCGGAGCCCCATGCTTCGGTTATAATTTCCCGTCTCCCAAATCATTACCGCATCTTCCAGCCTTTGTCGGCTGCAGAAGTCAAAATACTTCTTACTGCACTCGTAACTAAAATTAATAAACAGTAAGTCTCTTTAAAACGTATTTTAATTTTAAAATTGCTCTTAAATTGTTCTTATTTTTTTATACAAATAAATAACATTAATATTCATATTTTGAAAGTGAAAGTATGTATATTAATTACTTTTTATACTCCAACTTTCTATTCTCTCTTTTCTTCAATTCAGCTGTAGCAGTTGTGCTAAACCAAGCAGTCCCGTTAAAATACTACTTGTTGGAGGTGATAGTCTCGTCAGTTGGTTCATAAGGCCTTACGTTGAACTATTGTCAAATAAGCCACCTGAATGGCTTTTGTTTTTGAGATTATATGTTGTACCACTAGGTAATTATTTTACATATATCATAACATTTTATCTGTATTTTTTATTAAATTGTAACATTTAAATAATGTATATATTTTATATTTTTTCTTAAGGTACAAATTTGGTAGCAAGAAATCTAGCGGCACAAGACTCAGGTTATGCAGCATTATTTCCCCCAGATCAAGAAATTAAAGTTGACGATTTGATTGTAAAAATCCAGCGATATCTCAGTATACCAGCTTCTGCCCCCACTGCTCAACTTTCTCTAGCAGAAGCAATGCTCACGTGTCATGACGACTCCAGCCAAGTTTTTATCCCATTTATTAACGTGAGTTTTCGTTTATGAACTTGAAAATATAATATTGAAACTTGAAATAACAAGACCATTTCCACTTCTGAGTTTACTAGTAATATTTTTATAAGTGTTGTGAATCTATTGTAATCTTGTAATCTTCATATCATCATGTAAGGGAGATACAAACCTTTAAAAAAAATATTTACATTTGTATGTTGCTTCAAGAGATTATTTGTTTTTCTTTTTAAGGAGGTACGAGTTGGTCCCCTGGACAATGCTCTTTCGATCTCTGTAGATTTAGATGACACTACTTGCTCAAGTCCTCCATCCGCGCCCCCTGCACTGACTCCGCCATCGTCACCAAACGTTCAGAATCGGGAATCGCCCTGGGAGCCACTTGAGTTACAGTTGGATTATTGGCAGGCAAGTAGTCGTGTTGGTGAACCACAAACGAAGTCTGAAAAACAACCGAAACAGGATGGTAAAGTGTCTTTGAAAGGACTCTTCAGGGGACTTCAAGTTACTCCCTGCTTGGGGTTAAGTCCGTCATTGTGTCTGACCATGCACGTTGCCAGCAAGGAGAAAAAGCAGAAAAGTAAATAATAAAATAATATTTTTGAAAATAAATATTATACGTTAGTTAAAAAAAAAATGAATTTGTTGTATTCTTGTAACAGTTATGCGTCTTGGGAAAAAGAAGGAAAAGGAGAGAGAAATAGAATCACGCAGTCAAACCGTAGAAGGAGTGTCAAGACTGATTTGCTCTGCAAAATCCTCTCATTCGACGACAATGCGCTGTAAGTTTTCTACTGTTATTTAAGAAAAAAAACAATTTTTAAAAGAATTCAGTAACTATTAATTTTTGAAATTTTGTTGTTATTAATGTACTTTGAATTTAGAAACTTTCGTATTTATATAATTGTAACTATAATATAGGCTTTTTAGGCCTTTATCAAAATGATTCACATTGCAATGAAAATAATTAATTTTTATTTTAGTATTCATTGATGGAACAGAATGGTCTTGCGTGAAGTTCTTCCAGCTTAGTTCAACGTGGCAAACACACGTCAAGAACCTTCCCGTAGCTTTAGTAGGGGTGCCGCTAGCCAGTCAGGAGCTGCCATAATGTACGGCCCTATAAAAGAGCTCGTCTTGCTTTCCCTTTTCAGACACTTATCTAACAGTGTCTGTATAACCCATACATACCTATATTTAATGCGTGATAATGGGAAGTTAATACATAGTAAGTTGATGATATTTATTGAATTGCGGTCGAAAACCGCACCTGTGGATCTTTTATGTCCCGAACGTGACGACTATAATAATTATATCTAAATTAACTAATTTTCTTTAATGTTGTGAAGCATTAAAAGCTATTCTGATTTCTTAATATGTTTAAAAGAAAATTTTAAGCATAAAGAATCGAATTTTTAATCATAAGAACAATTACATTACAGTGATATAGTTGAAGCAATTTATCAAATTTCGGTATTATTGTGTCATTATACCACAAAAATATGCAGAAAGAGATATTTATAGGTAGTAATTATAAATTGTGAATAATAATTTCGGTTATTAAGTCGTTTTCAAAAATCAATGGATAGTATGCACACAGTTTCAATGCTTAGTAGCCTTACATTTGGAAAGTAGCAGCCGACTAAACTTCTCGAAAAGTTGATGTATATATTAAGGAGATTTTTGAAAAATCTGTGTTACATCCTCAAGAAAAAAAGAGTGGACACTAACATATTGGAGATTCAAATAAACTGGCTACTTTAAAAATTGCTACTAAACTAAGCAATCAACTTTGTGCATAACACCCAATGTCTCAAATTAATTGACTCTTTTATTACTGAATAATTTTAGTTATATAGCTAATTAAACTAGATTAAAAAAGCAATAATAATGGCTTTAACGTTGAAAGTTTCTTTTTTCCGAATTAATTTCGAAAATACAAAATTAATATTATTATTTAATGCATTTAAAGGACTATGAAAAACATTTTCGTTTGCTGTGATAATTTATTGAAAAAAGTTGTCACGACGGGACAGTAATTTTTTTGGCCGTAGATGCTGTGAATGTACTAAATTTTGTACTTTGCTTTATTTATTCATATATGTGATATCAATATGATAATTTTTAAATAGAATAAGGATGCCTTATACATAAATATTTATCATTGTTTTGGGCCCGAATACTGTTACTAGCGATCGCACATGAAAAACGACACGAAAATAAGCGATAACATTTATTTATTGGATTTAATAATAACCATGTTTCGATGCTTATTGAAAGACTGAGTTAAAATTAGATATTGAAAACTTAGAATGCATTCCTTAATGTTTGTTATAAATCGCAAATTTGTGTGTGTTTTGTCTAAATAATACATGACGTATCAGTGTTACTGTACTGTTCACCCTTCACACAAATATAAAAGGAATGTGAAAAACCATTTTCTACAAAACACACACAATTTTTAAGTAGTATATATAAATATACAAATATATGAAAGGCAACAGTTACATAATACAAAATATGTGAATATCAAGTACAATAATTAAATAGTAAATGTATTCCACAAAGAAGTGTTACATTTAATTATTTATTGAACATTTTCCTCCTTTGCTACCTCCTTTTTCCTCTGTTTCTTTACAGTCTCCACTAAGTATTTATACCGTAATATACATTCCTCCTGAAAAACAAAAAATTAATAATTAATGGCAAAAACGATTTAAAAGAGGGTTTACTTTTACCTTTGATTTATCTGGGACACACTCTGCTATTTTGTCCCAACGATCGCTGACAGACTTTGAAAATGTTTGTAAGGCGTTTTCCAATGCCTGTTGTTGCTGTTGTGTCCATATGTTCTCCGTCTTAGTTTGTGGTTTAATTTTCTCCATCAACTCTTTGTCTGCCACTGATATCATTTTTGCTTTATAAGAATTCTGACGTAATGATTTTGTTACTTTAGTGACATCATCAATTGATCTATTCAATGCTTCTGCTATATGATCCCATCTTCCAGGCATTCCTCCAGGAAACTTTTTCACTAACTTTGCCAATTCACCCATTTCTTCATCAGACCAAGGCCCACTATTTAATTTTTTCAAATCATTATTGTTTGTAAGTTGGTGCACTTTGCTATTGTAACTTGGCATTTCAATACCTGAATAATCAGGTAGCTCTTGGACATGTTTGCGCTTTTGAGGTCTAATGACTTCATTTTCATCCTCTTCAGACTCCTCAATGTCTATAATTTTAGTTCTAGCTTCAAGCTGTTCTGTAATTTTACTCTTAATAAATAGTGCCACTGAAGGGAGAGAATGTATTATATTCCATAGTAATACTGGTAGTTGAACGGGCAATGTATTAATAACTGAAGGCTTTGATATGTCTTCAATGGGCAGTTTTTTTTGTTTACTTCTTCTATTAGCTTCCTACAAGCATCAATTACATATATTTTTTTACAAATAATCTACATGTACCTACCAGTGTGAACTTTCTCTCAAAATATGATGCCCATCCCATTAAATATTGCCCTAATGATATTATAAAAAATAAAAACAGTGATAATTCAATCAAAGTAATTCGTTTAGCTTTTCTATAGTAATAAATAGCAGATTTCCAGTTTGGCAAACCATTCACAAGTACTTCATTATAATATCGTCGTTTTTCAGGATTCCGTAAAACGTCGTATACTGCCACTAATTGTCTAAATTTTACAGCAGCATCTTCTTCTGGATTTTTATCAGGATGAAGAATCAAACTCAACTTACGATATGCTGACTTTATTTGTGCAAGATCAGCTTCCTAAAAACAATGGATATAGATTTAAGTTTTAATCTTTATTTTAATAAATCATCTAACGTGGGAGATGCCTAGAAGGTCGTAAAAGTTCTGTTGTACTTCTTCCACGATGTCGAATACCTCCAGCTGAAGAGAATCCCATGGGTAGACCCCAGTTGGAAAAATTATCACAAATATAAAAAAATGCCATATCGAAAAATTCATCGCACATTGCTATATTCTAAACATGTCTCTTATCAAAAAATAGCATTCATTTGTTTTACTTTGTTTGTTACTTTGTTTTGGAATTTATAAAATATCTGTTAATGAGGTTATTCGATATAGTCAGATATTTTTTGCTACGTTTTATTTTTATTCATTAAATTCGATGTGTTCAGGCGTTAAATTCGATGTAAATTGATTTGGTAAAAGCGCCATTTCTCTTCAAAATTTTGGTGGAGGCGCCGGACACTATGAGTTTAGAAGCAGAAACTTTAAAATCCGATTTTTGTATTAGGAGAGCATAAGTGATTTGGGAAATATAAAGGCGATTTCACACGTTCTCGTCGAATCACAACTTTAGATTTATTGATTGAAGGAGATAGTGGCTATATAACCACCATTCTATATTAAACCAACTATATATTAATAATTGTTGAGTACTGAAATAAAATTAGAAAGGAAATAAATAAAATGATATCAAAAATTATATGGCTTTAATTTATTTTTAATAAAGTGATAGAAAAGAAAATTATAGATGTCAATTTTTGTTGAAGTTACGGTAGCAGTATCACACTTTAAAAGGTAAACATAATTACAATTACAAGAAATTACAATAAACAATAAAGTAAGTGAGATAACTTTTAGAGAATTAGTTATTTGCGCTATCTGTATGTTTTTAAAGACATGGATAATATTTTCTTCTTGTATTTAAACCTAAAATTGATAAATCTTTACGAAAATTATTTTCTAGGTTATAACAATTTACAAAAAATTAGTAGTTTATGAGAATAAACTGCATAAATTGTGTTACAAAATAGGATTAACCCTTACAATTGGTAACTATTTTATTGTAAGTACTTATCATACACAATTTTAACATTTTTAAGTTATAGTACATACTTATCTGAAATGTTTTCCTCCAATTTTTTTAAACAGTAACACCATGAATAACCGTTAAATAACATTAGTCCTGGTAAACGAGATAATAAAAAGACTTACTTTATAAGAGCTTTCCACACACAGTCTACAGTGTATATTGTTTTATATTAACATAGTGTTGTAGATCATACTTATTTCATCTTAACATTTGCTGTAGGCAGATAAGATGCTTTTAAAATAATTTTATAAACTAATACTGAATTCAATTACTTCCTTTTCAGTGCATATGCAATGGCATTCAGATTAGCCAAGCACCTCAATGGTATCAGCTTCAAGGTAAAACATGAAAGCATCTAATAGAACTGCCTGCAATTTATTAAATTTTTAGGAAATCTCAATGGGGTTCTTAGTGTGCCCTGCAAATTATATAAATTATCAAATTACTAGACCACATACAAAACATTGGAATCCCAAATGGAAACGTTTAAGGAAAATGAAAGTTATAAAGGTAGAACTTCCTGATTTTGAAAATGATCCAGGGAAACTTTCAGAAGAAGAGGTACGTTCTAAAATGAAAGAGAAAGGACTGTTACCACCCCGCCCGTGGGTGGAACGTCCTTTTAATATTACTTGTACTGGAGGCATTTTTGAAGCCTATGTGCCCCCAGAAGGTGATGGAAAGGTATCATCAATTACTGCCCAAGGAGCCAAACAAAATGTACAATTTCTTGAAAAGAAAACGAAATCTATGATGGCTATTAGAAAAGTAGGTTCTTTTGATGAAGATTTTAATCGTTCTGTATTTATTGAACATGCAGAAGATATCTACAAAAAGACTCATGAATTTATTGCACTAAAAGATAAATATAAGATTAGAGAATATGTCACAGAGAGGGCATACCCTGAAGTAATGCATAATTTATATAATAAGACAATTATTTGGAAATTCATAAAGAATATTGAACGTCCAAGGATGGTGCATGCAAGATGTACAGACATAATCACAAAAGAAAATGTATTTGCACAGATAACAGTCCGATTTCATTCACAACAGGTGAGTTGTTAATTTGTAATAGTGATGCTTTACTATAACAATTTAAAATTATTCTTTTTCAGATATTGGCTGTTTATGATAGATTTGGAAGATTAATGCATGGTAGTGATATAATAGCTAAGGATGTTTTAGAATATATGGTCTTTGAAAAACACCTTGCAAATGAATATGGAACATGGAAAATTCATGCAAAGATAATTCCTGATTGGCTTCCTCAGAAAGATCCATCACCATTAACTTATAAAAAGCCTATTGAAACTAGTGTGACAGTTGCAAATGAAGAAAAAAGCACAGCTGAATCAACTGAAACAAACATTTCTTCTCCTACATTGATAGAGAAGCCTACAAATACTTCACAAACTGCTTAATTTTTGGTGAAATTGATTTTAAAAAAAATACCAAAATTACAATAAAGAGTTGTTTGTACTAATTTAGATGTCGCGTTTATGTTTACCTTTATCATTCTACCAAAGTGCGTTATCACATTATTTATTTATTTATACCATAAATTACATTCATGGCCCATTTTTGTACACAAAAACCATTAAAAATGTTAATAAAATAATTGGACCTATCACATAATGTATAATAAATAGTACTTGCAATTTTTTCCTAATATATGTTAAATTGTATTAATATACATATTAAAATATATAAAAACGTATATAATTACCGCAGCTGCCAATAAAGCGAATTATATTACACACTTATACAAAACGCTTTCGAAGCTTTCCTTCTAACAAAAAGAAAGCAGAATCTCTAAAACCAATGCCTCGTTAATTATACACAGGGAGTTCAATTACTACACCAACTTTTGTATAGTAATGAGTAATAGTGTACATATTAGTTTGATTTTACATAAATCCGATTATATAAGAAATAGGCAAGTATATAGGACAGTAATAAAATTGTAATTTTCAAATGTTCAAGCACATTTGGGCCTATTCTAAATTAATGAATTAATACTGTGTCAAATTAAAATAAAAAATTAAAGATAAAAAAAATAGCATTACGTGCAAACATCAGAATAAGAAAATTACAAACGCTTATGCTTACAGAACGTAAAAAATGTTAAAGTCAAACTGAACATAATGAGGGGTAATTTCTCATATTATTTATCAAAATGTCTACTATACTGACGCTACAATTTTCTAGACACTAGAAATTCTTATACAGTCTATTAGAATAAAAGCAACATCCTTTTAAACTTTTAAGTAATTTAAAATAAATGTCAAGTCAGTTATCAATAATAATTCTTTTACTGGGACAGTGAACTTTTTGAAAAATAAAATTAATCAGAAAACCGAAACAAATTACAAATTAAAAATATTGTATTAAGTAAGGCATTTGTTTTATAAACAAGGTAAATGTAATTTGTACTTCCCAATTTATGATTTTAATTAAATTATTAATAATTATTTATGGAATATTAGAAATACCTTATTTCTGTCGATATTTTCAAAATAATTATAATCTAGATCTATATCTCCTGTTTTGTTCCCGCAAACCAGTGACTAGACAAACCCCTTCCATCTAATTATTCCCATGATTTAAACGAAACTACTTGTTGGCTGTTCCAAATATAAGTTAGAGTTGTCCGTTTTTTGGATGTACTTCACAAGACCGTTCTGACCCCAATTTGACGGTTTCGCAGGTACGATTTTTGGTTTTGGAGGCAAGGGGGGCGGCTCACTGGGTCTTGGACTTGCGTTTGAGAAAGATTCCGTCGATTTTTCCGAAACTTCCGTCAATTTTTCATTGCTGCATTTCAAAGGAGATGACGAGATACTTGGTGAAAGTTTGTTGGGAGAATAAATTCGAAAATTATTTGGCTTTTTGTTATTATTATTACTGTTGTTGTTGTTGTTATTGTTACTATTATTAAAAGCACCGTTATTATTAATATGTAATTTTGTATTAACCGAAGTTTGTTTTACACTCGAAGAAAAATCTAGGCGGTCGTTAGTCTTGGCTTTCAAGAAATCTGGTAGTTCAAAATTGATTTCTGTTCCCCTTTGGTCCTCCAATCGAGAACGTTGTGCCCTTTTTAGACCTTCGTAAAGTTCTGAAAAAGAGACTTCAAATAAAACGATATAAAAAAGTGATATGTAACAGGAAAGTTTTCGTCAAATTTACCTATCTAATATTAGTACAATTAATAAACTTAATTTCATAACTTGTGTAATTTATTTTACGATTAATGAGAAATAGAGAGAAATCACACAATACAGTGATGCAATACACTTATAAACTACATTTTTTTAAGATCCTTTAATTTAATGATAAACTAAAGAAAAATATTTGCATCGAGATTTAAAACTAAATGTTCAAGAGACGCTTGATAATGTGAACAAAAAAAACAATAGGTGTTCACTTTATTGATTTGTTCACGTTAGCGAATGTTATATGTAATACGTATTAAATATCTATAATTAATAAAATAAACATACATGCAATTATAAAACACTAGTCCAAACTCATAAAAAGACCACAACAAATAGATATCACAGTAGTGAAATATTATTTTTCACCAAAAAACCAGAAGTTAGTGTTTAATGAGGATGATTTTTTCTGTTAAGCTTTTTTTATAATCATTAAGTCATTAATGTTGACGACACTATTCGGTCTGTTAGTTTGCCTAATGAATGTACTAATAAAACAGCATATCTCCAGCTAATACGATTGGGGAAGTACCAAAGATTTGTAGCAAGCAATGAAGTAACAGCAATGGTGAAATATCGATTTTTAAGGCCAGTGGAAATTCTTTTCTATAAGCGAATGTTTACTTTGTCTATGATAGATGGTGATCTAGTATAATTAATTTGCTATCACATTATACAGGCCCTGCGTTATGCGACGTTCACGCTATCAAATGTCTACTGTATAATTTAATTAATAATGAGTGAAACATAAACAAGTCAAATCTTACCATCACTTTCAGGACTAGGAAGATGTAGTTTAGCGCCAGTCTTCCATTTGGCAATCAGCGGTCTTTTTATCATGGTGTTGGTTTCATATGACTCATCTTCACAACTATGAACTTGTTCTGATTTTGAACACATCGCGTTTTGTTTTTTTCTTTTTTCATAAATTTCACTTGGTTCTTTCTTCAGAAGCTTACCAAATATACTCGATGAATTTTCAGAACCCCAACCATCACTCTGAAAACAGTTGTAATGTAAATTGAGCGATTACCCGTATGAGACAAATAAATAAATAAAAGGAATACACGAAGATGTTGCAATCTTGCATTATATGTAATATGCATTTAAATCTAAAATAATATGCGAAGTCAATTTTTTTTTATAAAATACTTACTTTAAACGACTTTTTATTAATTTGTAAACAACATAAATAATTAATTATTAATCACCATTTAAAAAACAAATTTTTACTTACTTTTAACGATCCTTGATCTGATTTAGGTTTCGAACATCTGGTATCGCCTTTTTCGTTTAAAATATCCTTGAAAACTCTGTTCGTGACTGTCTCCAAAGATGGAATGTTATTTGGTTTATCGTCAATCTTTTGCCCAAGCTCCATCATTTGTCCTAGACATAAAAATTAATAATTCTTAATAACATCGGTTATTTCGTACCAATCAGACGAATTTCACTTACCATTTTTTAGTTGAACAATTAACCGTTTTTCTTCAACAGAAGTAACAGGCTGGTAAACGTCAACAAAATCTTTTCCTACTGTTATATTAACATTATCCAATTTATAGTCATATTTACATAATATTGGCTTCAAAACGTCCATCAGGATTTTAGTATATTTTGACTTAACAGCTATGACCTTTTTATTGGGTAAATAGAGTTTAAAAATGACCCTCTGTTCAATCTTCACTTCACAGCCAGATAGAGTTGTGGAGGGTTCACGAACATCCAAAGGCTAAACAAATTTTAAAATTACAAAAAAGCGACAATAAGGATTATATAAGTTCTACACTGTGATTATGAAGTAACCGAAAAATTAAAAATTGGAATTTCAAAACAAACTAGGTAAACAAATTTACATAAAAAAAGCAAAAAAGATTTATTTGTTTTACATATTTTTAACTTAATTATCTACCTACACAAGATTATTACGTATTAAAAAATGTTTTACCTTGGAATGCTTATCAGTAAAAACTTCATAACACGAATAGACAATACCACGTTTCTCTAAAACTCTGTTAATTAATTCTTGTATCGTTTCGTCTTTCTTGATCTGCACGACGGTGGTGCTGCCATTATTTAATATTACACGACACAAAGGGTTTCTACATGTCAAGCTACTGTCGTCAGGTAAAAATTTTCCAGACTCCTAAAAAACATAGATGGAACTTCAGGAGTGGTCCTCAGGACTCCTCATTTTAAATTTATGAGTATGAGAATAATTCATTGTTTGTGAATACATATTCCCAAATTTTCGCAATTCACTTGGTAACTTAATAGAAAGTGGGAAAAAATTTTTCAAAAAAAAATGCTCAAATTCATCACCAGGTTTGGTATGATGAGATCATTATTTTAATTCCTGTTACATACTTCACATTACGAAATCAATACAAAAAATTCAATTCGTAAAACAGCTTGAAGAGATACGAACTTTAATCTGATCGTGAATTAAATATTTACATATGTTTACCTGCGATATAAGGGATGTCTTGCTGTTATGAATCTCGCTGCGACCGAGGCGATGAGTCAGATCGTTTGATGTTCCTGTATCCTTTTTTAAATTGTACTCGGTTTCACCTCGATCCTTGGACTTTGATCGATTTTTACGATGCCACGGCAACAGAGATTTTCTCCTGCGGTCTTCCGCGTTACTTAGCGACTTCTTTAGCTTGGTAGGCGTGACGGACGTGGGGTATATCAACAAACCATCGTCAAAATTGACGTCCGCATTCCCGGCCAAACATTGCTTGTACAAGTCGGACTTGAGAAAACGTGGATAACTATCGAACTTCATCAGATTGAATATCTGCTTTTGCGCCTGATCGAAGAGCGAACAACGAGCCTCCTGGAGAGACTGTTCCGTTATTTGCCTGCCCTGGGAGTCAACATTCACTGGCTCTGGGGCACCGAGGCACAGGTGGCGTTTGTATATTTTCTGAGCCTCTGTTGCCCTTTCGGAAACCGATGGATTTCGACGATAACGTTCACACGCTGTCCAAAAGTAAATGTTCTCAGCACTGAACTCCTTCTTCAAGAATGCCTAACAAGTCATATAATTATATTTTAAATGTAATATGTAAATAACAATGTTTAACAAATTTAGCATTACATTTATACACACTTACAGCAAAAGTTTGTAATCCCACGGTATCTTCCAAAAGTTTTTCGAAGGAAGTTGCCCACGCTGATGGTCCTTCTGGACGTTCGTTCTTCCGTAAACCATTTTCATCGTCCTGCAACAAAAAATTTGCACAGTTGAAAAAAAATATTCTTAGTACCTAACAGATACTGAGAATTTAGTCACAAAAAAGCTGGGTAATGAAATTTGAAAATTGTAACTCAAAATTAGCATTCGTTTTTAAATCTCATGCACAGATTATGTTTCTCTTCCTAATTTAAAAAGAATTTTTAGCAAAAACACCTAAAATTGTCGGTTTTCATTTATTTATCGATCTCTATAATATGTTCGGTATAATCAATAGTAATCGTAAGAAAAAAATACTTTCATTACCTTAATGATTTAAAACAGTCTAATAAAGTGAATGAGATCACTAACAAGTGACAATACATTGAGTCCACAATGAAAATTAACGTACCGCAGTCGGTCAGCACCGCCAATTAAATAAAAAAAATATTTTGTTATAAATATTAATTATTATTGATTAATTTTTTAAGACAAAAATTGTAGGTATATTTTTACTGTTATCGTGTATTAAAGGGCGACTATGCCCGTTGATTCTTTCATAAATTAAAAAAAATAATTTGTAAGCATATGGATATAATATGTTTGTACATCGTAATACATATATATTATGTAAAGCATTAATATGCAAAAAAAAAGAAAGCCTTTTACTTAAACATAAGAATTAGACAAAAAAAAAACATTTGTAGACGCGTTAAAAAAACATCTGCGAAAATTATTTAGCATTTAATTTACTGTTAACGAGCTCTGTTAATGAAGGTAGATAATAATTACCTACCTTGGAAAAAGGCGCAAGAGTAGCTAAAAATGAAGCGGGACGACGCAGGCTTCGGCAGGAGCCGGCCCTGCGAAACGAGCCCTGGAATCGTTTGAAGGGCGGCTTCAATGCAACTACCAACCCTGTTCCAACGTTACCATTTTCACTACACATGCAACCATAACCCTCAGTATTAGTAATCAGATTATTTTAATGATTAAAAATAAATAATTACGAAGAGTAAATATAAAGCGAAGAAAAGAAATGGAATATACATTATACAGGATGTTTCAAAAACGTTCCACAAGGGCTGCCTATTCCCCTACTTTAACAACTAAAATGTATGTAATTAAGAAAGACAACTTAACTATTGGAAATTTACGAAAACGTAAAAGGGTCGAACACAACTTTTTTTTTTGAAATTTCGACTTGTAACTCGAAATTTCTAGTTGAGTATTGATTTACCCATTAGTATAACAAGGAATATAGGCCAGAATCAATAGTATCTATCGGGCTGAAGAACCGTAGTCTAAATAAACTGTTAGATCAAGACGTTTCTTTGGTAACTGTGACAAATCTTCAATGACCACGTTGTCAATGCAATACCACCGAAGATGTCAACCGTAATTGCCGACGAAACATAATCATAAGATTGAATTGCTTACTGGATTAGAATTGACTTAGATTAACATTGATTCAACCGTGTTAACAAAAAAAAGTACACGACTCACTTCGTTCGTGTTGTCTTTACATACCCCAACAATTATAATCCTAACCTAATTGAACTTAAAGCTTTCATTCGTTTGATTGTGATCATAACGTTACAGTAAGTAAACACAACATGAACGAAATGAGTTGTATTACTCTTGTCCTTTGTTAAAATTGCTATGGCTTAAACTGGAATTGAGTTAGGTTACGATTCAACAGGCACTTAGAGTTACAAGTTAAAATTTCAAGATGCAAGTTGAAATTTTGAGCTGTAAGTCAATCTTTCGAGTTGCAAGTCGAAATTTTAAAAAAACTATGTTCAGTCCTACGCCTTCGTAGAAATTTACTGTAAATCAATAGGTACAAACAGTTCACTAATTAAGTAGATTGCAGAAAATTAGGATGTAATTTTGGATAATGATTGAAAATATTAAATACATATACCTATACTCCACCTTCAGTAAAAGAATTTACAATTCGTTTATTTTTCACTAATATTTTATTAATTCTTTATCATAATTATTTACCCTTTTAAGAAAGAATTTTAAATTATAAAATTGATCAAGAAAACAAACTGGTACCTACGTATTGTATTCCATCAATTATTACAAATACTTTTTCATAAATAAATAGCAGTTAAACGACACTCACCCGTTTCCAAAAAGCATTTTATTGCTAAAGGCGCCACATAACTGGGTCAATTTTTTCATTTTCCGATATAACAACTAACAACAAATAACGTTCAGCAATCAGAGTTACAATCCGTAAACGATCACAGACCGACTCACGATCAGCATGCCTTCAATGACTGTATCGGCCTTACTTCCTTGTATTAATTGTAAAATATTTTTTTAATGAATCACCTGTGTGCTGTAATAATAGTACAATAATTATACGTTTACCTGGCTAACCGCCGCCCTATCTCTGACTACTGATCGTGAGCGCTTTCTTCAACTACCGATCGGATCATAATGAGAAAAATTAAATATTGCAAATAGTCAGTTAAATACGTAAATTAATCTGTTGCAATACGTACACATAGATACCGTTCGCAAAAAAGATTTATCCTATTATTGCACGAAATAATTGTGCAACAAAAACAAAACAACTTTTATCAATACGACGTAAAGTGCTTTTATTTTTCGCAAAATAACGTCTTTATTATAGATTAAAACACTTCCTAATTATTTATTATTTCTCTACATTAACCCCCCCACCCTAACCACTTACATAACGCGTCTTAATATCCAATAATAATTCAATTTCAAACAAATTCTGAAATGGTTACGTAATGCAAATCTTGATCTCCGTCTACCCCGACGTAACAGGACCGTAACGTTTAATATGTTTAAAATGAATAGGTAATTGAAGGACAATATCTATTTCTGCACTAAGTGCCTCATCATTTTCCCGTCCGCTGAACTCATAATATTTGAATAATAATCGACATACGAAATATTTGACCTTTGCGATCTAAAAATAATCTCTCATCTTAAAAAGTTTTCAGCACAATTATCGTCATACCAAATAAACATGTGAAAAATATATTACGTCAGTTATAATCCTATGATCCTATTCTCTTTGGTTTAGGTCTTTGCCGCTTTTTAACGTCATATAGTTATTAGCAAATGCAGAAAGAAAAAATAGCTACATTAGTTAGAGACGTAAATATTTACGTTTACACATTTTGACGCGTATGAACATAGATTACTGTTATTAGGGACTGTCCATAAATTACCCAAATTAGGAAGGGGAGGGGGCGTTACCGTCCTGCTATGTAGGGGAGAGTTTGTGTAAAACACTGCATAGATGATATGTAGTCTTTTAAATAAATTTCCCTTGCTTAGCAATGTAATACTGACCACCCTTTAATATTAACAAAAAACAAAATTTTTTCAATTAAAAGTGAATAATTACTGGAAATTAAAAAAAAATCTTATGTGAATGCAAGCTTAATTTTACAGTGACTGCACTAACGTAACGGATTGAAAAGAAGGGAGAAGTTAGCGAAGTATACTTCGTTTAGTTTCTCTAGCGATGTAACCTTTAGCTTGACCGGCGCAAAGTAGAAAAGGACAGCACTAGGCCAGAAAAAGAAGGAGACAACTCTCGGCCAAACACTCAATCGGTGAGGAGCGTATAATCCGTACAGTACAGACCATTTTATCCACTAAAATTGCATTGCTGTGCTGTTATTGGTACCAATTACTACTGAAAATATCAACGAGATGTTTGTTTATATTTGAAGACATACTAAAGGTTTTAAAGCTTGTTTTCGACAAGCACTACTATTCATGATTGAACAATACTTTTGGCAAGTAGTGTACAAAAAAGTATGTTTAATGTACAAGAGTCGAGTGTATAATGTGCTTTTTTCTCCCTACCTCCGATTTTACCATTGCGCATCCAAGACATTAGAAGGAGCACATCGCTAGAGAAAGTAAACGAAGTATAGCTTCAGTACTCAGTACTGTTGCATGGGGGAAGAGAAGGGGTGAAAAATTGAGGAATTCTGCGTTACGTAACTTGTGGACAAACTCTTATTTAGTTTTTGGTTGAAAGTTTAAAGTGAGAATAACGGAAACAGTATTTTTTTTTCTGGATAAAAGGTACCCTATGACCTTTTCTGTATTCGTGACAAAGTGGGTACAAAATTTCCTGATGATCGCTTAAGTAGTTAAGGCGTGAAATGTTAATAAATAATACGTTTTAAGGATTATCGACGATCACATAAAACTAATTTATCTATCTATCTCTCGTGAACAATATTTTTTTTCTTTTGTCCTTTTCGGTAGGTACCCCTGACAATTTTTCTATAAAAAATTAATTAAAAACTATTGTTTTACTAACTAGGTAATAATATCTATACAACTACACACGTAATAAAACCACAGAAAAAAATATTTGTCACGTTTTTCAAATGTTATTCAAACAAAAAAATTCCGAAACACAACAGGGGAAAAAAAACAACGCAACGCAAAATACCTTTTTACTGACCGAGAGGGTTAAATGCATTAAGTAACAGGTGGTGTACAGGTGGTTTCCGGAATTAATCATTATGCGGAAACACTGTAAATTGTAAACGTGCATGGCATTCTGTCCGGTGAACTAAAATGTCCTTATGAAACAGTAAACTATTACGGTAACGTCCTGGATAACTTCGGTTAGACCGTGAGAATAACAGCGACATTTACACAGTAACTGATAATACTGTTGCAATAATGATTGCAGCGCGTTTAAATTTTTATTTCTTGATTTCCAGATAACTACCGCTTTCTGTTTATAACAACTGCAGTTACTTTGATTTCAACACAAATTAAGATTCATTTTTTAATCTTATCGTACTTCAGTTTACCATTTCAGTCATAAAATAATGAAGCTATAATGTGTAAGTAAAAATTCACAATCTAGCTAAAACATTTACTTAACGACGAAAATTTTGCAATACTGTAAACTCAAAATGTAAACTATTTCCAAAATACGAAAAATTTTTTCCTTTGTCTAAGGAAATTTTGAATTGTACTAAAGTATTCTTGTCATTCCTGTATTTTCGATTCGACTGATAA